AAATCAATTTTATTCAATCTTAACTTTGTTTTCCCACAAATTGTGTTCTTTGAGTTATTGAGCCACATCCGTGCTAATAAACTTAGCTACATCTGAAAGAAACTTACTCATGGCTTCTAGTACATATATATGTATAAGAACATCATTGTTTTTAAGCATACACCATAATCCATGCACCTTGACGCCGAATCTAGGCCTATCATATCTAGTGTCCGCGGTTGTTAAATTTAAATTGCTGTTGATTTATGAAAGAATCCGTAGACTTCTTTTATTCACTGATCCACAAAACTAGCACAAGCTTGTTCCAGCAAATCATCAAACATTGTCGGTTTCTCTAACTAGATGTAGAAGATACTTTCAGGTCTCCTTAAAAGCACAGCTGGGTGGTTCGAACTGATCAACCAATCTACCCGCTCTAGCACACGGTCCACTATGATAATAGTGTTGATTCTTTGTGCTAATGATATGTGAGAATACTGTGCTGTCGGAGAACTTTTGTCGGAGAGTCCCGCTTGATCAATGATCTGTTTTCTGGAAGACAAGAAGTCGTTACTAATATTTACTGATAATTTTGATATAAACCTCATTGATATGTGTTGGGCCAATTAAAACGTTAACTATTAGGTGAGTGCTCACTGCTCACATCTACATTACACCATTTTAAGAATTTGACCTGACTGGGATACGATTCCGACCGCCATGGCCAGTGGCTCCTGCACCATCAGTCCATTAAAAAACAAATTAAAAAACTCCTACATTCTCTATCGCGCCCACATTAAGTGATCATTCTCCGAACTAAAAGAACGAGTTCAAGGTTCCGAGGTTCTTATTCACTGTACAGTGATTTTGGATTGTTCTTAAAGGCCACCGTCATTAATAACCAACTGCAATCGATGTATTTTCGAGACGCTAATTCCGAATCACCCCAACTAATATAAAGTGTTAAATGCTACCTGACGAGATATTCGGCGAAAAAAACTGTCTCGATCACGTGATATGACCGGATAAGGAAGTTAAGGTCTAATTTTTCGTTAGGGTTAGAGATTTCCAGCATATGTTTTGTTATGGACTTGGGTTAGGGTTGGGATCAGAATTAGTGGGTTAGGGTTTCGATTCAGTCGTTCGGACTGCTAAATAAGGGTGTTGAAAATAGTCACGTGACAGTCGAGTGTAGTGTGGATTAATCGTTCATCCATCAAGGTTTGCTCGCCGGGTCCCCGAAAAACAAAAGGACGTTCTTGAGAGATTATGGGTTTTAAATATAAAATTTTAATTTCTATTACGTGTTCGTTATATCATCTTCTCGAGTATCATTCCATCCAACAGTAATTTCTCCTTTTGGCTCAACCTTAGAAGAGAGCCTGCAGTTGTTGCAGTATGTGCTGTTCACCTGCATCCGTTCGAACCACTATTCCAATCTTCTCTTTTTGCGGGTTATTAAGGTATAAGTTCGTGAAGGGTTGTTGTTCTCAGCTTCAGGGTTCGGTTCGTACTGAAATTTAAGTTCTTATACTCTATGACACCGTGGTAAATCATTGCCGTTCGAGATGGTTTCGCTTTTTTTCCTATGATCGTGACAATCTAGAGAGTGTTTTATGGAGGCAGCCTCGGCTAACATCATACACCCTCACAACGAAAGAGGAAAGAGATCACGGAAAGAGGAACATCCTATGGTACCAATCCCCATTAATCGCGCTTAACGTTTCACCAACATCGGAATGAAAGTTCTTCGCCATTTCATTTTGGATTATAGCATTTCCGAAAAACCTACACCGTCACAAAATCATCAATAGGAATTCTGTTATAAATAGCTATGCTGCATGCAAGTTTGGATTAAAAGGCTACTCAAAAGACACAACAAAACAGTCTAGAGAAGCAATTGAAAAGAGAAAAGCTTTCATGACCCACGATGGTACAATCACCGACAAAACTTCAAAAATCTAAGCACAGATGAGTTATCCGGGGACTATCAAAAGTGCTATATATGGGACTCAAGGATGAAAACATTTGAATATACCTTTATTTAGCCAATTGCATATTTCATAGACTGGAAGATTTAGACAACAATTAGTCTCGAACTTACTCGACTTAGGGCGGCATTCAGCGTACGAACAGAAAATAGTTCTTCTTCCAAATCTGTCTATCCAGCATGAGTTTGTTAATTCTTTGCTGTCGTTCAAGCCCCTGTGTACCTTCCGAAGGATGTCATTGTATGTGAGAATGTAGTCTTCCCCACTTCGACGATGTCCTTGAGAGGGGTTCCCGAAGAGAAGTTGTTGACACAATAGTTCTTCATGTCTGGCTAAATGACCTGCGAGATCTCTCTCATCCGATGCAGCTCAGTATCTTTATAGGTTGCTCTGTTGAGGTGTCCATACACATTGGCGCGTTAGTCTGCCGCTCTTTCCAGTCAATGTTCAGCTGCCTTTTCTCAGCATTCTCGTATTACATGCATCAATACGTTTTGCGAGGGTCTGGCTGATCAGTCCATGTTTCAGAGCCATATAGAAGAATGGATGACTCGACTGTAGCACGAACGAACAGTCGTTCTTGAGATTCTTCGACATATCCGACTTCCATACATAGCTTCCATTCTGGTCACACGCTCCCATGCTTAGCTTTCCTCATATTCGAAATGTCCTTCTCGAAATCTTCACATTCTACTACCCCCAATGTATACGATGTCATCGACTTTCTCAATGTTCTTCCCACTCCAGCAACCAGAGTCGGGTTATCATCATCTCTTATGTTGATTCCCATGTTGAGGTGGAGTCCAACGGTGTTGGCTGCCAGTTCAGCGACTCCTGGGAATCTTGTGCTCCGCAAACACTATCTGTTATAAGAGCAAGGTTGTCAGCTTGTCGATCAGTGACCTTGACTGCACGGGATAGCGACGGCTTTTCTAGGGTGTAGAGTAAACCAAATGTACCTACCCTCTAGGGACTCCCTCATAATCGTAGTCAATTACGATTATGAATAGGTAGGGGGCCAAAGTGTTCCTACATCCTCCTGATAGATGAAGAATGCTTCACTCAGGACATCCTCGGTAATACTACGTGGCAAATGTGATCTGAATTAAATTTATGTATCAAGCCTACCAATCTCCTTGGAATTCATATGCCAGGAGGATCTTCATGAGGGAGTCCCACGGGGTGCACGCTTGGGTCCATGTCGATCGCCTTCTTGAAATCATATACAACTAGTCATTTTTCTTAGGCCAGGTATATGACTAGTTGTGAACCTACTCTCTCTGAATCCGTTCTGATTGATCCTAAGATGTCTTCCATGGCTAGGTGTGATCATGTTCTGTATCTTCTTTTTGAGAGTCTTCTTCAATATAGGATGTCAGTGAATACCTCTATAGTTATCTACTTTGGTCAAATTTCCCTTTCTTTGGAAACAGGCACGTGTTTAGTTACTTCCAATGGTCAGGAACATCGCCATCAACCTAGTGATTTATTGCAGAAGTCAAGGATAAATCATCTACATCAACAAACAATAGATGTGATTCAAATTATATTATTTTGCCTTAAAAAAATGTATCCTAGTCAGTAAGAAGTACGCCCATATGGGCATTTCTTAGAAAATTTCGTTAAGCCTGGATTTCATTTATAGGTGAGGGGGATAAAAGGTGGGGGGGGGGGGGGGGGTTTACTAAAAATATGTTAGGGGTTTAACAGTCAGTTCCATTATGTTGGGTCTTATACTACCACGTTTGTTTATTTTTCATAGTTGTTGCTTCCAAATGGATATGAACTACTAGTTGCGATTTGATTCGTCACCAAACATTCCGTCGATTTTTGGGGGCCACACCCAATTCAACATTACATTGCAAATTTAAACTGGTGACGGGTGTTGTGTTTGTGAACTTGTTATGTGGACTCATTATGAAGATATAAAACAGATTATTCAACAATATCCATGCTTCCATGATGCCTCGAATCTAGGACCATCAATATCTCATTGTCCGGTGTTATTAAATTTAAATGCTGTTGATTTATGAAGAACCGTAGTTTTCTTATTCACTTGACTCCACAAAACATAGCACAAGCTGTTCCAGCAATTCATTCAAACATTTCGGTTTCTCGGACTAGATGTAGTAAGTACTTTCAGGTCTCCTTACTTAAAAGACAGTGGGTGGGTTCAAACTGATCAAACCAATTACTCGCCTCTATCACACGGTCACTATCGATAATTAGTGTTAGTTCATTTGAGATATGGACAGAAAATACAACAAAAAATCAACATATTTCGTCAAAATTACGCGACTTTTACACCTACTTTTGCTTCAAATGCCGACGCACGATCAAATATGGCACTAGGCGAAACTCACCGATCTTTTCCATAAAATTAATCTAATCGAACACCAGATAGAATATCCATCTATCACAGTCTCTGTATGTGGGTGCAGGTTGACGGAGCTTTAAGTGATAATGAATGGCAGGCTACGGGCTGGTCGTGGGAGGATATATTTGAAGATGGCAAGTAACATTTTGACCACGTAACTTCACACTGGTATTAAGTTCAAATAAAAGTGCCAAGCTTAAGGCAGTATTCTAAAGTATTATTTGCAAATATTCTAACCAATTAGTTTCTGAAATACATTGTTTTCAGAAAAGACTCATTGGTAACCATCGGTAACCGATCATACGTTCATTAAAGACGCCTTGGAAAGCATACTTCACTGACACACAAATTCGTCTGGAAATTTATTTTTGGATAAAGATGTCATTAGGTGATTACACCATTAGGTGATAACACCATTTGGTGATTACACCATTAGGTGATAACACCATTAGGTGATTGCACCATTACTAGACTTTCGAATACACTCCCGTGATAACTGTCAGTGTGTCACGTTTCTAGAAAAGAATTTGTTGAGGATTCATTTTGTTGATATTTTTCTCTCTATTTTTGTTTCATGTGGTTGTATTAATTTGTGTCAACCAACCAACATTGAAAGTTTTAGACAAAACATCGATACAATGACGATTGAAATATAAGAATTAAAATGAAAGTCAAATTAAAGAAACTTTGAAAGTTTCAACTTTAAGATGCTTAATGATGGTCTTAGAACCTTCCGAGACGGACTCTCCAGGGCCTCCTCCCATGCATAGTTCTAGATTCTAGATAACCGATACAGACAAATAATTCCGTTTTTGTTCATATTCATTTATGCATTATTAAATGAATCAGATGATAACCTAGAAAAATGTTGAAGAAACTTGAACATTTGTTTAATAGCTCTAAATATAAATAAAGTTCTTGTTTCTTACTGTGGATCGTCAAAGATATCTGCAATACTGCTGTAATTCGTTATAGCCTCTGAAAATGTTTAAACTTTACGCACATTCTTTCAAGGTAAACCCGAGAGTTTCCACGACACTGTTTACTGTTATCCTTACTTAAACAAGTTTCATAGCTGCACGGATGTTGGATAATGAAACTAGTGCTAAATATGATGATTTTAAAGTCGCGTACCTGATTCTTCAGCAATAATCTTCAATGGAGGAGGCGTATCTTCTTTAGGAGGAGATGGAGGAGGTTCTATAGGTTTGGGTTTGATCCTTCTACCATTCTTACCGTACAGAACTTTCGGTTTTTCTGGAACTTTCTTCGTCTGTTGCTGCTTCACTGGTAGTTTCGAGCCGGGTATTCTTGAACCAGGTTTAGGTTTGTTATGAGTTGTCCTGTTGTTTTTATTGTTGTTATTCATCGTTCGTTGGCGCTGGACGGATGACAATTCCCTCTCCTAAAATAATGTTATATGATACATATTATTTCAAGAGAAATAATCATTAAATCCTCAATCGAGAATAAAATGATAAACGATTCACAACACTTTGAATTGGTGAAGGCAAGACTGTTAAATGTAGTAACCTGAAGTTGGATAAGTTTAGATTCTGCTGGAAGAACAGAGTTTTCTCGGCTCATGGTCTGACAGGAGACCTCGTGAACAGTTTGTGTGGCAGCATTGGACACATATCGTACAGACTGTTGCACTGGTGCTGGCTGTTGTACAAATACATGTTGCTGTGTTGGAGCTGGCTGCTGCACTGGTTGTTGTACTGGTTGTTGTACTGGCTGTTGTACTGGCTGCTCGACAGTTTCTTGAACGGGTGGTGGATCGGGGGTCTGAAGGTAATAAAGTTAAAAATTAGGTAGAGGCCTTGAACAATGCAAAGGGTGATTTTGAAACGTTAACCCTCCTAGGGGTACTGATTTGAAATGTAAGGTTAACTTAAATCAAACTATTAGCTTAGATAGGAAAATATCAGAACTAACATGAACAAGTGCTCGACCACTTTTTGGTCCTTGCGCTTTATTTGGTGGTCTATTTGATTTATTAGTTGCAGCAACTGAGCTATTGCGCTGATTCCTCATTTGTATTTCTTGGATTGGTGGCTCCTCTTCCGGCTACGAATGATACGAGCAGTTAGTAAAGATGGCAAATACCTTAATTGCTATTATTTAGCATTCTATTGAAATGATGATGATCAATAAATCATAAATTAAACACTCCGTGTCCTTACCACAGTTGATCTCGTGTTAACGTTCTCATCCTGATCATTTCCGAAAGCTGACCTGCTTCTCTTGCTTCGCTTCTCCTCCTTTCGCTTTCTTGTTTGCCTCCTCAATCTTTTGCCTCATCTCCTGGATCTGCTGCAACTGCGCTGCTTCTTTTTGTCTTCTTTTCTCCTGTTCTAACCTCACTTCCTCGGCCATTAACCTCTTTTCCTCCTCGATCCTCTTCATTTGTAGCTCCTCCTCTCGTTTTATCTTATCTTTCTCTTCCTTCTTGAGGCGTTCTCTTTCCTCTACTTGCTGTCTAATCATTTCCTGAAGTAAGGAGAGTCAACAGGCCCTTTTTACTAGACTTTTAAATTATAAGAAAACAAAGAAGAAACAACAGTCAAGGGATACGTAAATCAAACATGTGGACAACTCGTCAAATTAATAAAGCAGAAATTATAAATAATGACCTGATTTTCCCGGGCCCGTTTTCTAGCGTCTGTTCTCCTCTCCAACTCCTCAGGATCAACCCATGCACCCTGTCCTAACATTCGGCCTTGAGTGGGACTTTCAGAAGTCTGTCGTGCTGGAGTTCTGGAGGCTAGGTGCTGAACTTGGGGAGGCTGCATGGTTACATTAGGTGACTGTTGAGTGTATACAGGGATATTGGGGGGTTGTTGGGGAATGTTTGGAGGGTAGTTATTGGGTTGTTGAGCAATGTTTGGAGGGACTTGCTGAAGATTCATTGCTGCGGGGTTATTGTACGCAGGTGCAGGTTGATAATTTGGCACCGTAGAACGGACACCAGTTGGAATGGAAGCTGGGTACGGTGACTTGTGTCTCAGCATTTTGTCTTGCTGATCTCTCTGTTTCTTTTCTCTAACTTGCGCTTCTGTAACAGAAAATTGATTTCTATATTTGTTTAATAATCGACATTTATTTCACATTGAGGTAAGAAGCAGTTAATTACGCAGAATCTTTACTAGATTTACTCTCTGTGACATACCTAGTTCCTGAACCCATTTCTGTCTCGCTACCTCCTGCGCTGATCTGTTGTCTTGTGGTTCACCACCGGTTATACTAAAACTCTGGTGGTAATGACCTGTGGGGAGGTGCTTGTAAGATATCCTCAAATCATAGGGAATGTTAATCTGGTTACAATTGATGGCTTGATTATCTATAATTCCAGGGAGTTTGAGGTACGGAAATAAAACTGCAATCTGCAAAGTTCTGGTGTCTAGAGTTCATCATAAATGAAACACAAAACCGTATATCGCTCCTACTCGTAGTGGAGCATTATCTGGCACTCTGTATTTGTCAAAACGAACATTTGAAGAATTAACTATGGATTGTGCCACTTACTGTTCATAGGTTTCGCTTCATTTACGGCAGGTGTTGGTTCCATTACTTGTTGGGAACCGACAACTTGTTGATTTAAATGAGGCTGCCCATTAGGAACAACACCCACATTGCCAGACTGTGCAGCAATTAAACCATTTTGCTGCATTACCATTCCAGTTTGGTGAGGCACAAATGATTGCTGATTGCTCTCCTCGGGCCTCACATTATAAACTCTTTGTGCAGAGAAAGAAGGAGTGGGTGGCAACGGCTGCTGAGAGGCTATTCTCAAAGCATTGTCCACCACGACTCTATCAGCTACAGTACTTCTCATTGCTTGTTGTTGGGTTCTCTTCGCTTGATATGGGTCCACATACCCAGTGTTGAAAATATTCGACTGATTTTTCATGTAAAAATTGTTTTGACTGGCCCTGACATTTTGCTGCTGTTGCACAGGATCTTCAGGTGGTGCTGCAACTGGGTATTGATAGGTTGGGACGGGCTGAGTCTGAACAACTTCAACAGGAGGAGCTTGGTGTTGGATTGGAGCCTCAGGTTGGGGTGGCTGAGAGGAGTATACTTGAACATTTGATGGAGGAACTGTCTTTGGTTCATTACGTGACTGTTGTTGTTTTGGAGAGTTTGATTTGGCAGCTTTTGGAGGGTTTGTTGATCTTTTAGGACCTGAGAAAAGATTAGATTGTTCAAAATTTGGTAGGTTAGGTTCAGATCTTGTTAATTAAAATTAAAAGCAAATCTCAGTATAATCTGTTCAGTGTTCACATTATTATTTCTTTACTTGATGATTTGAACTTTATGAGCAGGTATTTTACTTGAAAAACCGACATTTTGCAATAATAGGGCTATACGAACCCTTGTTTCTTTCGCCTACAACTGGCTCAGGTTTCACTCTGTGATGTCTTGTCTTCTGGACAGGAGGTGGTCTTGCTCTACTTTGCACCTAAATTTACAATCAGTTCACATCAATATAAAAATGTGTAAGTTTGCTGGAACTGAAAGATACATTTGAAGCTAACTTTAAAGTCTTAAAATTTGGTTGCTAAATACCTTGGGAGCTACATTACTCTTCTGTACTGCATTAGTGTTGCCTGCTTGCTGCTGACCTAAAATGAAGTTATGTTTTATAGAATATATTATATATGTTCTGCAATATGAGATATTATTATGAAGGCAGATAAAGAAGCCCAAACCCTGCAATGCAGGGTTTGGGCTTAACTTCTGAATTCAAAGATATAATAATGGTCGCCATTTTTCAAGAAGTTATTGGTCTCAGCATCAATGTAGCGAAATTTTATTTCGCAAATTAGGTAAGTTACCAATAAAGCTACACTGATTGTATCTTATAGATTGTTACCTCTTCTGCGCCTAGTGCGAGCATTTCCCTGTAGATTAGATTGCAGAGAAGCTAGAAAATCATCAGCAGGTCTCCTAAGACAATTATATTGTCAAAGATTAATAACTTGATACTGATACATTAATATCAAAAACGTATAAATATTTAAAACTAATGGAAATTAGAAAATTATGAACAGCTTCCTTGTTACCTGGGCTGAGTTGCACTAACGGACATAGATATCAGCAACCTCCAGTAACATAACCTGATATAGATAATTAGATTCGGCTATCACATCTCATAATGTTTTAAAATAAATAGCAAATAGAGATTTAAATTCAAATTCTGTGTTTTAGGCTCTATAGTTTAGCTAAAACAAATATTGTAGATACTTTAAAGCTTAAAACTTTAAAAACTTTATTACGTATAGAGTTTCAGCAAATTTGTTACTATTCATTCTACTAGAAAATACTTCTGTGTCTTTGTTATACAAGCAAATATCATATTATCATCCCAAGTTAGAGACAGAAAGATAATAAACTTGGATATCATGTATTTCAAACAGGGATAGAATAAGCACTGAGGTTGTTTAAGGTTCTTTCCTATAGAGTATTTGTGAGTAAAATGTTTCTACCCCAACCTTGATTGCCACTGAATTTTTTACATGTACCGTAATCCCATCAGAAACGCAAGGTCGCTATCTTCTTCCATAAAGCAAATCAGAGTACTTAATGGTTATTCAGTAAAATAAAACTAGCAGTCAGGGACAAAAAGTCATACACCAAATGGGCATGTTATATTTTAATGAATTGTTTTACATCTTTTGAGTCTGTGAAATACAAATGTGCTAAAAATTAAACTTCTTGTTTCATTGAAATATCTTGTTTCGTTGAGTATTTACTGATTAGTTTGAAAAATGAAAATGCACTAATTATGCAATAGCATAACTCTCTGCTTTGGAATGAACAGATTAAGGCTTTTCAATATCTAAAGCCAACAGAATGATATGTTGGATTGTTAGAAATCTGATTATCAGGGAAAGATCTGTGATGATATCAATTTACAATGCTTTGATAAGACCCCATTTAGAAGTAAAACAAAATTTAAATTTTATTGCCATTACAATGAATAATAATATCATAATAAATATAAGTAGACATCCGATAATAAACTTGTTACATCCAGTACAACCCAAGATGTCAGCCGACGCGACTTACAAAAATAAAGAAAGCTAGCATGTTCATTGTTGATAGTTTTTCTAACGAGCATACTTAGGCTGTACGGAAATAGCTTTAATGTTTAATTCTACGTCATATTAAAAACATTACATCATTTTTGCTAGATACAAAAATAAATTTTAAAATAAATAACTCTTTTGCTGCTAAGGCGCGGCACCGCGCTGGGTCCACATGTTATACAGCGTGTAGCAACACAGCGCTGAAAATATAAGATGATTGAGCTATAACATTATATAAGCGGTGCGCCGCGCCTAAACCTAAAACCATAAACTTTAAATTGTAAATATTGTCAAGATATTTAAACGAGTTTTGCGAAATAATATGACATGCTGACTTCGTAGGATATTACAATTATACCCGTGCCAGTTCCAAATGTGAGTCAGCAGCTTAAACCAAAAGCAGTTGGCAAAAGGAGCCAGTTACCCGCCTAGAGTATTGTGTTCAATTGTGGAGTACAGTTGCGGCTCATGGAAGTTGGGGGATCATCTTGGAGCTGGAGAGAATCCAGAGGCGGTTTACCCATCTGTTTGACGAGGTGGGTACTCTTCCATACAGTCGTCGACTGGAAATCCTCAATTCAACAATGCTGATAGAGCGGCTAATATGTGGGGACCTCATTGAATCTTTTAAAATTATAAGTGGTTTGGCCAATTACGGAGCTGGTTTGTTCAGTATGAGCAGATCTGGTCTTAATGTGGTATCAAACAGTAGATGCAGTAAAAGTAGCAGTAAAATGAAGAAAGTCCACAGTTCTTTTATTCCGGAGAGTGTGAGACCATATAATTGGAACAAACTCCCCCCGGATGTCAAGAATTGTGGCACAGTGTTAAGTTTTAAAATAAGATTAGAGGCTTTTAAAAAAGAGACTATTTTAAACGGATCTGTAAATGATAGTCATTTTTGGTATGTTTCAGACGAAGTATTAGGAAAGCTTGAGGGATTAAATTATGCTACTAATAAAGAGAAGCACAATGAATATCTTATGTGTAATCCTCATATTGCTAAAAAACGCTTTATCAACTTATATAGTAGTGGAAAGTATGTAAATTAGATTCATTTTAACTTGAGTGTTCAGGCCAATAGATTTTAGATAATTTAAAACTTTAGTAGATATATTTTGATGTGTGTGATCCATTCGACTGAAACATTTTAGCAGCGAGTTTGGAGCTGAGTTTGTAGGTTTACAACCTACCAGGACGCGCGCCGAGTTGGACTCGTCGACGGTCCTGAGTTTGTAAAGCTTTCGTACACTCGCCTTTGACGTTTCTCTGAACAGCTCGCACTGGGTGTGCTTTTCAAAGTTTTGTTAATTTCTTTTAAAATATTCCAAGTATTTAATATTTGAGTGCATATATCATATAATATAGATTCTGAATCATATAATTTTTTATAAAATTATTCAAACAATATACACATAATATAGCAATGACCCTATATAAAATCTACCCTTTAAGAATTAAAAAAAGTTTCCTAAACAATCAAAAATTATTAAGATCTAGACTGTCTCTATCAACAATGGTTTTTCTCGCACCTCTGTCTCCACGGAGAGAAATCACTGTTGTTTTTAGGATTTCAAAGCGAAGGCGCTTTCTAATGTATCATACAGCATCCGAGTACCTCTGGCCAGTGTGGTACTCCATCTTACTGGCAAACTTTCTGAATCATATAACATATAATCATATTGCACATAGAGTACAGGAATCCGCAAAGTTAAAATTGCAATCTTTTGATCGGCCCAAAATGAGACTTTTCTGGAGCATGGAGATTTTGAGATATCTCAAAATCTAAGTTGTCTCATGAATTTCCTCCTGCAGCAGTTAGCAGCAGTTAGCAGCAGTTAGCAGCAGTTAGCAGCAGTTAGCAGCAGTTAGCAGCAGTCAGCAGTAGTTAGCAGCAGTTTCTTTGCACTATAGTCCCCATGTGTTTTGATTGACAATGTCAATCCGTCGAGATCGTTGCTTTGCGAAGCAGAGCAACGATCGACGACGATGCGAAGCAAGAATGCTAGAACACATGGTTGGAGGACTTCGCCGCTTCGACGCGCCGCGCAAACTAGCATTCTTGCTTTACATCGACGATCTCGATGGGTTCATATCGTCAATCATATCAAGCCCCAGCCAGTTCTGTTAATTGATGATGTCAATTCATGGCAGCTCGGCGCGGCACAGTAGCGCATCTCGCCGATCTAGCCTCATTGAGTGCGCGGCGCGGCACAGTAACGCACGCGCATCGCGCTACAACCAGTTCTGTAGATTAAAGGGTTTAAGGCAGATGTTCTTTTTGAAACAAATTGTATAATTTGTCGTGTGCGCTGCATGCGCTTAATATAACTTATTAGGTGCCATTGATCTCTTGCTAGCGGTGCTTAGAAGTTAAATAAATCACGCGCCTGCCAACGCGTTGCAGGTTGCTCTATCCAGAGCCCTTGCGCTTGCATTAGCGCGCGCCCGCAGTGGCGCGAAAGCACATGGTTAGGTGAAGCCAACGCGTAGTGCGTATTTACTTACCATGGCCTGGTACTTCACATAGCCATGCCATGTGTATACGCGTACTGCGCTTGTTTCATGTCACAAGCTTCACATAGCCATGTGCCTACGCGTACTACTGCGTGACGCGCTTGTTTCACGGTCGCGCGCTACTGCAAGCGAGAGGGCTCTGGTTAGAGCAAGTCACAAGCTACTGCAAGTGAGAGGGCTCTGGTCAGAGCAAGCCTGGTACTTATGGGCGGCGCTCAGCCGAATCTCTATTCATATGTTTATGAACATATAGGTAATATATAACAGGACACAAAACGTACTTGGAAATAAAACACATCCGTGAAATAGAATTTAAATAAATACGATAATAATAACTCATTAGTCATAATCAACAATGATAGCGAATATAATATTTTTTATATTCTATTATTAAATTCTAACCATAATAAATCACGTCGGAGTTTTGACTGGCAAGCACCAATTAACTAGCTGACCATAACTTCGCGCGCGCGCAATTGAAACTTATGCGCGCGCACGCAATACTTTGGCACACAAGCTGTTGAAAAACGTTTTTTTACATAAAATTGTCAGTTGTCGCCAAGAGCTTCAAGTGTTACTAGAAGACGCCGAGTTATGTCAATAACTATTTCTTATCTTCATCAAAGTTTTGTTGATGCAATATATCGCACTTCTCAGAATGTCAACAATAATGAACAAATATCAAACATAAGAATTTTACAATAATTTCAAGGTTTCTGGCTGTGTATTGACTATTAAGTCGACAACATACCTTGTATGTTTACAACCTACCAGGACGCGCGCCGAGTTGGACTCGTCGACGGTCCTATATATGGAACAGATATTTTACGAGTATCACCCGTTAACAACATACCCTGCCGAACTAATGTCTTTAGTCGTGATATTGCAAGTAACAGAAAGAGAACTCTGACTTCTCACACGTGTTACTTCTCTGCCGTCGCTCTGAGTTACAAACTTGGGGTCTACAAACTCAGGTCTAGTGCCTAACAACCAGCTAGTGAACTTTTGGAGTAGCGAGGTGGATTCATGCACAAACATAGGCATCTGAAATTTATTGTACGGTTAAGAAGGTCATGAGAAACAATTCACAAATAATATATACTTCACTAAGACCATCTTGTTACTTGTTGGCTGAAACGATTCATTAAAAGTGAGTAGTAGTTGTAGTAGTAGTATCTCCCTCACTAACTAAACCTGTATTTTATGAGATCCAGGAATAAGAGGAAAGAGAATGCTCCCGTATCCGCGAACTACATCCCTCCCAAAGGCGTCCAGGCCGTACACGGCTATCACCAGCCTCGGCCATCCGTACGGGTTAGTACCCTTCAGAGTAACCTGTGGTGTTATTATTTTAACATTCAGAAGCTCGCGACGTTTATAATATAATTTCATTGATTACAGGATAGTAAATACTCGTACCTTTCAAAAGTACGGGAAATGTTTGAGATCTACTGCGAAATGGTTGTTTTGTCGGTATTTCATTTTCTTTGAATCTCAGTATTTGGGTCTCTATACAGTTACTTTCAGGGGTGTAGGAATGGTTTTCTTCAAACAACAAACTTTGTTAAAGATTTTGCTCATGCAAAAAGCCTAGCTGAGCAATTTGGCCCTAGAGATCATTTTTAAACACAGTTTCAAGAACGATTCGAATAATACGATATTAAATGCATATTAGAGCCTGCCAGCAGCTCTTGCTCTTGCTAAATAAGTGTGATTCGAAAAAGGGATGCATAGTGTATCCATAATCTCAACAAATTAATTTTAAATTGGGACATGGATACTAAATTATAATTTATTAAAACATCCGATAACTGCATGAGATAGTACTCCAATGTTATAACGTTCATTTTAGAATTGTTTTTATAAAAGTAGTTGTGCAGTTTATTGCAATTAAAATGCAATTAAAATGGACGATCGTTTTGTTTAATTGGGAGCTCTCTACAGTTAATCTTCAATGTGGCCTCAAATTATAATTTCTCGTTGTCCTGTTATAATTGCTTACAACACTTATACTAATTGATGAATGCAGTTGATAATTTAGGGGGATGCATTCAACAAAGAGTTTGCAACAACAAAGTATTCCGTCCTCGCGTTTTAATTCCTTACCTCACTCGTTTGACTATTGAGAAAATAGTGCTATTATAATTATCAAAAGTGTGGTATTACTTAACTAAAGGAGCAAAGCACGTGCCCTGGAGCACCAATCACAACACAGAAACTACTCCCGTGCACGTGGTGTGCACGTGCTCTAATGAGGTCCAGGAATCAGTCGAGTATTAAGCACTAACGGTCGTGGAGACCCTATCAGTTCTTTCTCTTGAGCTCTTGCTACGGGTTATAGCCATAACCAGCAATGTTAATCTATAGCTCTTGCTACGGGTTATCATACTATATATAAAGCGAGACGATAGTTTTCCGTGCCATTTTACTGACACCACGGCATCAACTTTAACGCGACTTTCCGCAAAAACCGTAAAAGATATACAACTGAAAATTTGTTGACTGGGTTAAATGTTTTAATGGCCTTCAAATCAGCATGAAAATTTTAAAAATAGGCCAAGGAATAGTGATTTTAGTGCCCAAAATTTGGACCCCCAAGTGGTGTCAAAAACGCGAATAAAATAGGTAATAATTATTTTAGTCTCTTGAGTCTTGACACCGTTTAGGGTTATATTATACGGGTTCCTGCTAAATCGACATTTTTTTCATTTCTTTTGACGTTTTTTTATACCAGCAAATGATCTTAAAATCCATTTTTATACAATAGCATATAATATAAGCATCTCAATATTCAACACTCAATATATTACATTGCAGTGCCGACCGCAATACAGAACAGTTTCAAGTTTTACATTTTATTGTTACGAAAACGTACTATTTATTGTTACTAAAACAAACTATTTATTGTTACTAAAACCTTTTACAACGGTAACTTAATCTCAATACTCAACACTCAATATATTAGATTACAGCAGCCGACCGCAGTATAGAACCTTTTTAAGTTCAAAAATTTATTATCAAATTTACTTACTTAGTTTTATCATTTGTTGCCACTATATACTATTACTATCGGGTTCAAAGGACAATAGACGGCGCGGAACTTATTGACATTGATTGCGGAGTGGTGAGACGATTGCGGAGGGGTGAGATGATTGCGGAGTGGTGAGACGATTGCGGAGGGGTCAGATGATTGTGGAGGGGTGAGATGATTGTGGAGGGGTCAGATGATTGTGGAGGGGTGAGATGATTGTGGAGGGGTCAGATGATTGCGGAGGGGTGAGATGATTGCGGAGGGGTCAGATGATTGTGGAGGGGTGAGATGATTGTGGAGGGGTCAGATGATTGTGGAGGGGTCAGATGATTGTGGAGGGGTCAGATGATTGTGGAGGGGTGAGATGATTGCGAAGGGGTCAGATGATTGTGGAGGGGTGAGATGATTGTGGAGGGGTGAGATGATTACGGAGGGGTCAGATGATTGTGGAGGGGTGAGATGATTGTGGAGGGGTGAGATGATTGTGGAGGGGTGAGATGATTGTGGAGGGGTGAGATGATTGCGGAGGGGTGAGATGATTGTGGAGGGGTGAGATGATTGCGGAGGGGTGAGATGATTGTGGAGGGGTGAGATGATTGCGGAGGGGTGAGATGATTGTGGAGGGATGAGATGATTGTGGAGGGGTGAGATGATTGTGGAGGGGTGAGATGATTGTGGAGGGGTGAGATGATTGTGGAGGGGTGAGATGATTGTGGAGGGGTGAGATGATTGTGGAGGGGTCAGATGATTGTGGAGGGGTGAGATGATTGATGATCCCCAACCGAGACTGTTTCATAATACTCAATCTTTCTCGATTTACTAAGTTCAGTAGAATGCAATCAGTCATCAGTAGTGCGTCACATGTATTAAAAAATGTATAATGTATAATGTATAATGTATAATGTATAATGTATAATGTATAATGTATAATATATAATGTATAATGTATAATGTATAATGTATAATGTATAAGGTTTACAAGGTTTACAAGGTTTACAAGGTTTACAAGGTTTACAAAGATAGATCTGTATATTACAGTATTATAACGTTAGATCGGCGTTGCTAAAATAAATCCAAAATCCGTAATCCAAATGGGAGAGAAAACCATTACCAAAATGTCGTGGTGTCACTCTACAAGCCATTATATATAATGTATAATGTATAATGTATAATGTATAATGTATATTAATGTATAATGTCCTATTAGCTGATGGGAATCTAAATACTGGAGATGAGAAAGCACGGTCGAATGTGTTATGCTATGTTTATCATGATCGTACCTCTGTCAGTAGCTTACGCAGAGGTAACTTATACCGACCTTCCTCAATCTCAAGGTTAGCACTTGGTTCATATAATATCTCAAGGTTAGCACTTTGCTTCATATAATATCTCAAGATTAGCACTTTGCTTCATATAAAATCTCAAGATTAGCACTTTGCCTCATATAATATCTTTAAGGTTGGCACTTTGCTTCATATGATATCTCAAGGTTAGCACTTAGCACTTTGCTTCATATAATATCTCAAGGTTAGAACTTTGCTTTGTATAATATCTCAAGGTAAGCACTTTGCCTCATATAATATCTCAAGGTTTGCACTTTGCCTCATATAATATCTCAAGGTTAGCACTTTGCTTCATATAATGTCTCAAGGTTAGCACTTTGCTTCGTATAATATCTCAAGGTTAGCACTTTGCTTCATATAATATCTCAAGGTTAGCACTTTGCTTCATATAATATCTCAAGGTTAGCACTTTGCCTCATATAATATCTCAAGGTTAGCACTTTGCTTCATATAATATCTCAAGGTTAGCACTTTGCTTCATATAATATCTCAAGGTTGGCACTTTGCTTCATATAATATCTCAAGGTTAGCACTTTGCTTTGTATAATATCTCAAGGTTAGCACTTTGCTAGTCATATAATATCTCAAGGTTAGCACTTTGCCTCATATAATATCTCAAGGTTAGCACTTTGCTTCATATAATGTCTCAAGGTTAGCACTTTGCTTCGTATAATATCTCAAGGTTAGCACTTTGCTTCATATAATATCTCAAGGTTAGCACTTTGCTTCATATAATATCTCAAGGTTAGCACTTTGCTAGTCATATAATATCTCAAGGTTAGCACTTTGCTTCATATAATATCTCAAGGTTAGCACTTTGCTTTGTATAATATCTCAAGGTTAGCACTTTGCTTCGTATAATATCTCGAGGTTAGCACTTTGCTTCATATAATATCTCAAGGTTAGCACTTTGCTTCATATAATATCTCAAGGTTAGCACTTTGCTTCATATAATATCTCAAGGTTAGCACTTAGCACTTTGCTTCATATAATATCTCAAGGTTAGCACTTTGCTTCATATAATATCTCAAGGTTAGCACTTTGCTAGTCATATAATATCTCAAGGTTAGCACTTCGCTTCATATAATATGTCAAGGTTAGCACTTTGCCTCATATAATATCTTTAAGGTTAGCATTTTGCTTCATATAATATTTGTTTACTTGGAACGATTTGAACACAAATATTCCTCTTCAAAACGCATTGAACCTTGAACGATACTACTTAGGATAGGTTATTTTCAGAGTTTAAATGATGATTATTATAATTCCTCTCAGGTTGGGAAGCACCGGTAGCAGGGAAGAGGTTTGCACTAAGTCAAGATCAGACTCTGGCGATACAAACTACACCTGATTTTGAGCGGGAAGGGATAAATCCTTTATTCGTGTTCTCAGATGGAAGCGTGTCTCCGTTAAAATTCTTCAAAAGCAGAAGAAAAGGCTGGTACTACCGAGTGGATTTCTGCAATGAACTGCAATCACTCAAACGGGTCCCAAACGGCCACAAGAAATGGAGACTCACGCTCACACTAACTAGCTTGGTTCTGGAGTGCAACGGAGAAACTCTTCTTAATTTTAACTTCGCTGAAGATGGGCGCGGTGATATGTGTGAACAGACTTGGACTAACAAACAAATATCATCTATAATGTTCAGCAGGTTAAAACACTTTGTCATCCGAGCTGAAGGTTAGTAAAGTTGCCTTACAACTGACAAATTTGACAGATGAAAAATATGGATAAAATTGTCGCATAATCTTTTGCATGAATGAATTGCAAATACCTTGTTCTGAAATTTACAAGTAAATAAAGTAATTGTTATTGCTGGTCAAATAATAAACATAAAAAATTGTTCCAAAACAGAAGCTCTATCCCCCAAGTAGTGTATATGATATATATATATACTACTCCCCCAACAATTTATCTCCTTCTATCCCCCAACAATTCATCCCCTTCAGAGAGTATTTGTGTAGTAGAAAGGACAAAAATAAAGAAAGGAGAAAAGTTGGGCTTCGGCTGCCCCCGTGGACTAACCAACTATGGGAACAGTGAGGGAACCTGTGTGGTAGCAGACCAGTTCAACTTTACAAGGAAGCCACCTCTCTGTAAATATGGTAAGTGCAGTTCACTATATAGTGACAACACTATATAGTGACAAGCACTTTATAAGTGGAGTGGATAAGTTGGTTAGCAAAGGGTGAAAACTAAGGAATGTACATTTTTAACAGGCTCGTAAGACCCACTCACTCTTTTTAGTGTAAACTAAGTATATGTAACCTACCTAAGTGACCTAGGTATAAGGAATTTATCTACCAAAGTAAAATAGGTATCTAGATGCAATTTTAAAATCCTCGATCCCATCGCCATATTCCATGTGTACTTGAGGCTTCTCCAAAAAATGATACATTTTATAATTTATAGTTATTTATAATTTATAGTTATTTATAATTTATAGTTATTTATAATTTATAGTTATTTATAATTTATAGTTATTCATAATTTATAGTTATTTATAATTTATAGTTGTTTTTTTAAAATCGCGATTCCGTACATGCCGCGATTTCCTTTTGTCCCTGGTGGAGTAGTAGCAAGAAGGTATCGTATATATTTTAATTTGTTCTCTTGATTATTTATTTATGATTTTATGTAGGGTCGGCACCAATGTAATTATGGTTTTCACCACCGTGTTTTGGTTCAGCCGAAATAAATTTTACTATGATATTTACATAATGTTTCTCACTCCAGCTGCAGTCTGGTAGTGTTGAGTCTCATGAATATTCTTCTAGCTCTCATTTTCCATGTTTTTGCCTCACAGGAGATATTGTGGTCTTTTCTAAATATAACTGTAATATCAAATAACGGAGTAGTTCGCTGTTTATTAGTCTCATGATTGAAATACTGATATCTGGATATTATCCGGTTGGAAGAGACAAGGACAAGTGAAACAAGGAAGTTAGGAGTAAGGGCAAATTTTCGGCGTCAACGCCATCTTCAGGCTCAAATTATTTGTTATATAGTAGTGTTGAAAGTATTAAAACTATTTTAATAGTTATTTATAATTTAGTTATTTATAATTTATAGTTATTATATTTCGGAAATTTCATTCATCCTAAACTTCATGCCAACTTATGAAGTTGGCTATGATTGTTGTCTTAAGACAGACAAATTCTCACAAATCTGCTTGCAGCTTCCAGGTAACCAGGTAACCAGGTAACCATGACACGCCACCATTTCAGCTTCCAGAACCTGGACGAGTTGGTCACACTCAGGATCAGAAGGGATAAAGATGGCTAAATCCTGTCCTCAAGGGTTCTACGTATTGGATATGGTTTGGCTCTACCGATCAGGACATGGAGTCATAGATCTTGCGTTAAAATGCCACGATCCTGATAGAAGATCAAGCCAGTTTGTAGATTTTGTGGGACACGAGCGATTGATAGAAGATGGATTAGCAGACAGAAAACGGCCAGACAGCAGTGATATCTGGGGCTGGTTCCCCAGCTTCACAACTCTCCTCGACCTTGATGGAAGTGAAGCTAGCAATTATGTAAACAAACCAGACACTGAGTGGTTCGATGACGAACTTTCCGCAGGGGCGAAATGTTCTGGGAAAGGTGGAATTGACTCTTTCTTGGGACATAGCCAGAGCTGTTGCGGGCTGGTGAACACTAGCTTCAGATGCACTGATAGCGTGTCATGGTATAAGACTGGAACAAACATAAATGGAAAGCAAAACAAGAAGATACAGTGTCCCGCAGGACAAGCCTTCGTAGGAGCTGAAGTGGTGTACGGAGAGACAACAGAGTTTAACAAAATATTCAACAACAATCATCCAGGCATCACAGATGTACGCTTCCAGTGTGAAGAGTCAAAATATCCGCCAGTTGCAGCTTGTGTAGGATTACCTTCTGGGTGGAAGTCCGTGATAACCTCCGCAAGCTTTCCTGTTGAGATTGGAAAAGTTATCCAAGTGTCCTGCTCACGTGGCTACATTAACATGGGGGATATAGAAGTGACATGCGTGAGGAAGGATCAGTTCTCCTACACAGAGGAGCCTTTCTGTAAAGACGGTAAGTTCTCCTACACAGAGGAGCCTTTCTGTAAAGACGGTAAGTTCTCCTTCACAGAGGAGCCTTTCTGTAAAGACGGTAAGTTCTCCTACACAGAGGAGCCTTTCTGTAAAGACGGTAAGTTCTCCTACACAGAGGAGCCTTTCTGTAGAGACGGTAAGTTCTCCTACACAGAGGAGCCTTTCTGTAGAGACGGTAAGTTCTCCTACACAGAGGAGCCTTTCTGTAAAGACGGTAAGTTCTCCTACACAGAGGAGCCTTTCTGTAGAGACGGTAAGTTCTCCTACACAGAGGAGCCTTTCTGTAGAGACGGTAAGTTCTCCTACACAGAGGAGCCTTTCTGTAAAGACGGTAAGTTCTCCTACACAGAGGAGCCTTTCTGTAAAGACGGTAAGTTCTCCTACACAGAGGAGCCTTTCTGTAGAGACGGTAAGTTCTCCTACACAGAGGAGCCTTTCTGTAAAGACGGTAAGTTCTCCTACACAGAGGAGCCTTTCTGTAGAGACGGTAAGTTCTCCTACACAGAGGAGCCTTTCTGTAGAGACGGTAAGTTCTCCTACACAGAGGAGCCTTTCTGTAAAGACGGTAAGTTCTCCTACACAGAGGAGCCTTTCTGTAAAGACGGTAAGTTCTCCTACACAGAGGAGCCTTTCTGTAGAGACGGTAAGTTCTCCTACACAGAGGAGCCTTTCTGTAAAGAAGGTAAGTTCTCCTACACAGAGGAGCCTTTCTGTAAAGACGGTAAGTTCTCCTACACAGAGGAGCCTTTCTGTAAAGACGGTAAGTTCTCCTACACAGAGGAGCCTTTCTGTAAAAACGGTAAGTTCTCCTACACAGAGGAGCCTTTCTGTAAAGAAGGTAAGTTCTCCTACACAGAGGAGCCTTTCTGTAGAGACAGTAAGTTCTCCTACACAGAGGAGCCTTTCTGTAAAGACGGTAAGTTCTCCTACACAGAGGAGCCTTTCTGTAAAGACGGTAAGTTCTCCTACACAGAGGAGCCTTTCTGTAAAGACGGTAAGTTCTACTACACAGAGGAGCCTATCTGTAAAGACGGTAAGTTCTCCTACACAGAGGAGCCTTTCTGTAGAGACGGTAAGTTCTCCTACACAGAGGAGCCTATCTGTAAAGACGGTAAGTTCTCCTACACAGAGGAGCCTTTCTGTAGAGACGGTAAGTTCTCCTACACAGAGGAGCCTTTCTGTAAAGACGGTAAGTTCTCCTACACAGAGGAGCCTTTCTGTAAAGACGGTAAGTTCTCCTACACAGAGGAGCCTTTCTGTAAAGACGGTAAGTTCTCCTACACAGAGGAGCCTTTCTGTAAAGACGGTAAGTTCTCCTACACAGAGGAGCCTTTCTGTAGAGACGGTAAGTTCTCCTACACAGAGGAGCCTTTCTGTAAAAACGGTAAGTTCTCCTACACAGAGGAGCCTTTCTGTAAAGAAGGTAAGTTCTCCTACACAGAGGAGCCTTTCTGTAGAGACAGTAAGTTCTCCTACACAGAGGAGCCTTTCTGTAAAGACGGTAAGTTCTCCTACACAGAGGAGCCTTTCTGTAAAGACGGTAAGTTCTCCTACACAGAGGAGCCTTTCTGTAAAGACGGTAAGTTCTCCTACACAGAGGAGCCTTTCTGTAAAGACGGTAAGTTCTCCTACACAGAGGAGCCTTTCTGTAAAGACGGTAAGTTCTCCTACACAGAGGAGCCTTTCTGTAAAGACGGTAAGTTCTCCTACACAGAGGAGCCTTTCTGTAAAGACGGTAAGTTCTCCTACACAGAGGAGCCTTTCTGTAAAGACGGTAAGTTCTCCTACACAGAGGAGCCTTTCTGTAGAGACGGTAAGTTCTCCTACACAGAGGAGCCTTTCTGTAAAGACGGTAAGTTCTCCTACACAGAGGAGCCTTTCTGTAAAGAAGGTAAGTTCTCCTACACAGAGGAGCCTTTCTGTAGAGACAGGTAAGTTCTCCTACACAGAGGAGCCTTTCTGTAAAGACGGTAAGTTCTCCTACACAGAGGAGCCTTTCTGTAAAGACGGTAAGTTCTCCTACACAGAGGAGCCTATCTGTAAAGACGGTAAGTTCTCCTACACAGAGGAGCCTATCTGTAAAGACGGTAAGTTCTCCTACACAGAGGAGCCTTTCTGTAAAGACGGTAAGTTCTACTACACAGAGGAGCCTATCTGTAAAGACAGTAAGTTCTCCTACACAGAGGAGCCTTTCTGTAAAGACGGTAAGTTCTCCTACACAGAGGAGCCTTTCTGTAGAGACGGTAAGTTCTCCTACACAGAGGAGCCTTTCTGTAAAGACGGTAAGTTCTCCTACACAGAGGAGCCTTTCTGTAAAGACGGTAAGTTCTCCTACACAGAGGAGCCTTTCTGTAAAGACGGTAAGTTCTCCTACACAGAGGAGCCTTTCTGTAAAGACGGTAAGTTCTCCTACACAGAGGAGCCTTTCTGTAAAGACGGTAAGTTCTCCTACACAGAGGAGCCTTTCTGTAGAGACGGTAAGTTCTCCTACACAGAGGAGCCTTTCTGTAAAGACGGTAAGTTCTCCTACACAGAGGAGCCTTTCTGTAAAGACGGTAAGTTCTCCTACACAGAGGAGCCTTTCTGTAAAGACGGTTAGTTCTCCTACACAGAGGAGCCTTTCTGTAGAGACGGTAAGTTCTCCTACACAGAGGAGCCTTTCTGTAGAGACGGTAAGTTTTCCTACACAGAGGAGCCTTTCTGTAAAGACGGTAAGTTCTCCTACACAGAGGAGCCTTTCTGTAAAGACGGTAAGTTCTCCTACACAGAGGAGCCTTTCTGTAAAGACGGTAAGTTCTCCTACACAGAGGAGCCTTTCTGTAAAGACAGTAAGTTCTCCTACACAGAAGAGCCTTTCTGTAAAGACGGTAAGTTCTCCTACACAGAGGAGCCTTTCTGTAAAGACGGTTAGTTCTCCTACACAGAGGAGCCTTTCTGTAGAGACGGTAAGTTCTCCTACACAGAGGAGCCTTTCTGTAGAGACGGTAAGTTTTCCTACACAGAGGAGCCTTTCTGTAAAGACGGTAAGTTCTCCTACACAGAGGAGCCTTTCTGTAAAGACGGTAAGTTCTCCTACACAGAGGAGCCTTTCTGTAAAGACGGTAAGTTCTCCTACACAGAGGAGCCTTTCTGTAAAGACAGTAAGTTTTCCTACACAGAGGAGCCTTTCTGTAAAGACGGTAAGTTCTCCTACACAGAGGAGCCTTTCTGTAAAGACGGTAAGTTCTCCTACACAGAGGAGCCTTTCTGTAAAGACGGTAAGTTCTCCTACACAGAGGAGCCTTTCTGTAAAGACGGTAAGTTCTCCTACACAGAGGAGCCTTTCTGTAAAGACGGTAAGTTCTCCTACACAGAGGAGCCTTTCTGTAAAGAAGGTAAGTTCTCCTACACTGAGGAGCCTTTCTGTAAAGAAGGTAAGTTCTCCTACACAGAGGAGCCTTTCTGTAGAGACGGTAAGTTCTCCTATACAGAGGAGCCTTTCTGTAAAGACGGTAAGTTCTCCTACACAGAGGAGCCTTTCTGTAAAGACGGTTAGTTCTCCTACACAGAGGAGCCTTTCTGTAAAGACGGTAAGTTCTCCTACACAGAGGAGCCTTTCTGTAAAGACGGTAAGTTTTCCTACACAGAGGAGCCTTTCTGTAAAGACGGTAAGTTCTCCTACACAGAGGAGCCTTTCTGTAAAGACGGTAAGTTCTCCTACACAGAGGAGCCTTTCTGTAAAGACGGTAAGTTCTCCTACACAGAGGAGCCTTTCTGTAAAGAAGGTAAGTTCTCCTACACTGAGGAGCCTTTCTGTAAAGAAGGTAAGTTTTCCTACACAGAGGAGCCTTTCTGTAGAGACGGTAAGTTCTCCTACACAGAGGAGCCTTTCTGTAAAGACGGTAAGTTCTCCTACACAGAGGAGCCTTTCTGTAAAGAAGGTAAGTTCTCCTACACTGAGGAGCCTTTCTGTAAAGACGGTAAGTTCTCCTACACAGAGGAGCCTTTCTGTAAAGACGGTAAGTTCTCCTACACAGAGGAGCCTTTCTGTAAAGACGGTAAGTTCTCCTACACAGAGGAGCCTTTCTGTAAAGACGGTAAGTTCTCCTACACAGAGGAGCCTTTCTGTAAAGACGGTAAGTTCTCCTACACAGAAGAGCCTTTCTGTAGAGACGGTAAGTTCTCCTACACAGAGGAGCCTTTCTGTAGAGACGGTAAAATTTCCTCAGACTGTGGCAAGATGATTTGCAGCTCACTATTATTCTGCAATTTGATATTCAACCATCTAATAAAGTAATAACTAGACATCTACAGTTATACAATATACATACTGTAGGTACATTAGGGCCAATAAATTTGGTTCACAACAAATTTGGTTACCATAATTTTGTTCACCATAATTTTAGTCACAAATTTCGCAAATTTTTAGTCTGCAACAATTTTAGTCGCATTTTTCGACTTTTCGAGACCATTTTCCATTCCATTTACCTTAAGAATGACAAATTTAGTCTACCCCGTCTGAGCGAGCATTACAGATTAAGTTGCAATGCATAACTCAGGAATTTCAATAACATCGGATCCAGAGTTTGTGACTCTGTATCACTAAGTTCTTCAGTACACTGTTCAGTGTTCAGTTTCTTTTTCACCCTTTTTCGACTTGACCATTTCTGTCGGTACGACGTAGTTTATGTCGATATGATTCGATTAATTTAAATGGAAATCACCTAACATAAAGCATTTTCTCAACTTATGTCCATGACTTCGCTTTGACTTGATCAAACATTTTAATGTCACCAAAATGTAAACCAAAATCGGACTAATGCTATTCTGATTCTTTGACTTTTCCTTACTAAAGTTTTAAATTATAAACTGCGATCATATATATATAGACACGGTACGCAAACGTATCTATAATATATTTCAGGCTGTTATACAAGCTACGAGATGAATGTTGGTCTGTTTCCTGACTCCCAGAAATTAGCACAGAGTGAGTTCAGGAGTTTTGAGAGTTGTCAGGAATGGTGTGATGATACTCCCCTCTGTAAAGGAGTAGCCGTCAGTCCTTGGAATTGGGCCCGTGAGTCCCGAGAGTGCTTTCTGGTGGGCACTATGCACATAACAGCAAGGAGTGGATGGACTGCGAGTTCTCTAAGTGATTGTGACCAGGGTAAATTACAAAACACATTTTTCCTTTTTAAGCTCTAGAGTTTTTATCGTGCATGGTTTTCCGTGGGCCTCAAAGTGGTGCCTCAAGGACCTCAGTTCCTCAATGCGTCACAAGGTTATCTGGATCTTGTATGATCCAAGTACAACAGTCCTAGACATCTCACTTCGTGACTAAATTTATGGTAGACTAAATTTGTCGTTCTTAAGGTAATTCGGTTATTTGTCGGTCGACACTTGAGGCACAATTGAGACACGGATAAGGCACGGATTACACACACGCAAACTTAAGGCACGCTTGATGGCCCCTGCATATATCGACAATCTGTTGTAAAACAGGGGTTCCAAAAAAACCCTTTCCCGATACTCCTGATACTTGAAATTATTTTGCAGTCGACACAAAATTGATTTCCAGGAGAGGAGACTCTTGAGACTCTCACTTCGTCAACTACAATTCAAAAAATTTACAGTATAATTACAACACTACAAATCTATTACATTTATTGAGAATTATGTTGTAATTTTGTATGAAAAGCATTAATACAGTAGTTCAACTATATCCTATTTCTGAACACTTAAGATAATCAAGTTATAACTGCTTAAATTGTTGTCATAAGTATCATCAAATATCGTCAATACTCTCATTATCATGCCCTAAATTCTCAATTTTAGGGAGAGGGCTACACAAAACCACAGCAATTACCAAGCAAGCTTAACCGTTGCCTGACAAGGAGAACAACACATGGACGAAGATATGATAACGTTAACTATTAAAGCTAAAGGAGCATGGTATTTGAGTATTTGGGATTCACGATTTAAGGTTATATAGCAAAGGATGAAACAGTCTGGAACAATTTTTTGAACTACAGTTTTAGCATGCATGAAGAATTTAAACCGGGAATATTTTACTTTTGGGTTTAGTAATTATTTAATTTTTCTTCTTACAAATTTAAGTTAGCGTGCAGAATGTTAAAATGTTGATTCTTAAACCATTACATAAAATTTATGTTGTAATTAGAAACCATCAAGATTAGTCGACTTCGGCAGTGAAATGTCCATATCTAGATGTTCTAGTGGAATCGTTCTGTGGAAAAAGTCTACAGTAATTTAAGTAACTAGTAACTACAGCTCAATGAAACAATAAATTTTTCAATGAAACAAACAGCTGCGGACGAGTGAATGCTGCAGTCAAGTGCAGTGATGTTATTGTACATGGGAGAAAAAACATAAGCGGGTAATATCCTGTCCAAACCCAGAATACATAACATGAAGACTTTGGTGTAACTTTGTATTATTGTTATTATAAAACAGGATCTTACCGACAAAAATGATTCTTAAAAATACCTTAATGCGGTAAACTGTACCCTTGAAAAAGATTTTCCCAACATCTGTTGCATGCAGCTATATCTTTAATTTCGTTCAATTCATACAAGTTGTCCATTTGCAAACTTCTACTATTTAAATCACTTCTTAAAACCAATAACAAGTTCATTCTAGGTCTCCCCAATCTTCCAATGAATAAATTATCTGATTCAATAGAAAATGAGAGAGCCGTTTGGGCTGGGGTGTTCTCCATACTCCTGAGAATGTGTCCAAACATTTTCCACCGCTGGTGTTCAATACGCTTGGATAACTTTTCAACTTTGCACCTTTCATACAATGCTTTGTTGCTTATCATACCTTTAGGCCATTTGATGTTTAAAAAGGACCTGAGGTGTCTACGATGGAGTGTGTCCATTTTCTCCATGGTTGCTTTCTTAGGACTCCAACTATTTGAGTTGTAAATCAATACAGATACAACTTGAGCATCGTATAACCTCAGCTTTCTTTCAAGGGATATTTTCTTACCAGACAGCCAAACTTTTTCAAAGTTCTTAAAAGCAATAAATAACTTTGTATGAAAAGCATTAATACCTACAGACAAATACATAGCATATTGTATTTGTTGAGGTTTATTTGTTGAGGTTAAAGTCAGTCACGATACTGCAAAAGCAATACATCAGCACTGAGACTATCCCTCATCTCCTCATCAACAAGGCATCATCAATGTACGCTTCTAGTTCCAGGATTTGTCACATTTAAGGATGGATTGCCGTCAAGTAGAGTTAATTATTAGAGTTAAACACATTTGCCTGATTTTGGTCAGAAAACAGAAGAAATGGGAAACGAAATAGAACTAAGGTGGAAAGACAACCCCATTTTGCCACAAACCCCAAATTTGATCATTACATGATATAGTAAGTTTGATGTTGATAATTGAACTGTGAAAACAGCAAGAAAACCTGGCAAATTATTAACGAACTCAGGGGCAAAAGCCAAAAAGAAGAGGCAAACCAAGCCCCCATTTATCATTGATAACCAAAGAATAGTTGATAGAAGAATAGTTGATAGAAGAGCTTAGAGCAATTGCTAATGGATTCAATGCTTGGTTTGTCTCTATTGCACCAAAGCTGAATGAGACACTGAATAATCTATCTAATGGCCTGCCTATATTACCCATGAAAACTTTCTATGACTTCCTGAACCCAAGAAATGAAAAAAATATTAGGCTAGAAGATTGCTCCTCGAACGAAATATTGAAAATCATAATGAGTTCGAAAATGGTAAAGCCAGTGACATTCCCATAAGTGTAGTAAAAAGGTCATCTCATGTAATTGCACATGTATTATCGAATTACTTCAATATCCTTATGACCAAAGGTATATTTCCTGATGTCCTGAAAACTGGTAAAATATAACACCTGTATATAAGAAAGGTAACCCAGAAGAAATCGAGAACTACCGTCCTATCTCCACACTGTCCGTCTTCGGTAAGATATTTGAAAAGCTCATATATTCTAGAATATACGGATTTGTTAGCTCCCAGGGAGTTATATCGAAGACACAGTTTGGATTTAGGAAATCTCACTCTACGTCTCATGCAGTCAATTACTCTGTAGATTTAACTACGAAATCTCTTAAACTTAAGAATCATGTTTTAGGAATATTCATTGACCTAAGCAATTAAGCTTTTGACACCATCAACCATTCAAAACTTCTTATAAAATTAGAGGGATGTGGAGTAAGAGGAGTTGCAAATAATCTCATTAAAAGCTAAGTAAGTAAGTAAGTAAGTAAGTAAGTAAAGATTATGACATAACATCATCACAAGTGTCTACAAAATATCATTGCACTAAATAAAAAATAATTTAAATAAATATATTTTCCATCAACACATTAATAATTTATCAAAATCAATTTTATCATGGGGATACGAAGATATAACTGCCCCACTATTAACTCAAGGAATATTGAGTTTGTTGACTCAAATATAAAACTTAAATTTTTACATTCTGTAACAGTACAGGTGAAGGTGAAAGTAAAACTCGGGATAAAATGTACGACTCTATCTGCCCAAACGATCTGTCCCCATTACGTCAATGGGTTATTGACCTAAATAATCAACCAATAGAATGGGTGGTCGTTCGATCGGCTCATCATGATACTGATAGCATGATCAGGGTAGCATGAAACGTAGAGAAAAGTGTTTTCTAGGAAAAAAGTCAAGGAGGGGGGGGGTCAGGTCATGATTACGTAATATTGCTGTCAGGAGGGGAGGGGGTTGGGTCTTGATTACGGTTGATTACGGAAGGGGGGTAAAAATTGCTAAAATATTGATTACGTAATATGTGAACGACCCCTTAGTATTATCATGGTTCCCGATACGACCCCGTATCAAGTGATTTACCACGTATAACGTGAATCACAATGTATTGTTCTAGGATGTAAATTTGAATTATTATATTAATATAAATATTATGATGAATTTAAAAATGATTGAATCATTAATGATAATATACAAAATTGAATATCCAGCATAAAATTATAATATCGAAAGGTTTTAGAAACTTAATAATCTTTGCGTAATTCATTTTCGTTGTCGTTGGTACGTGGTCGTGTTTAAAGTTTATTAAACTCGAACATCGAATGTAGATTTTTTTGAAATTGTATGAGTGTGACTAAATTACTTAATAGTAAATAACACTTGTAACTCGTATTTCGGCCAGCACATTATTTCGGAAACAATCAAAAAGTTATATTACTCCCCATATATATAACAATTTTGTTGAAATTTGGTCAGCTTACGTAAACACTTATGTTTTATTGAACCTAAATTAGTTTGAGCAATTTCAATGGTCAGAATTTGAGTTTTCTACGAATTTATACCTATTTTGTCATTTTTAGACCTTTTAAAGTTAATCAAGGCCAATTATCTCTCCCAACTAATTTAGGTTCGGCAGTTAAGTATGATTGAAAGGTTTTGACAAATTTTCAGCATGATTGATGTTCAGGAACCGAAGATATGACAGGATAATACGACAAAAATCAACGAATTTCGTCAAATTACGCGACTTTTACACGTACACATAATTTTGCTCCAAAAGCCGCGCACCATCAAATATGGCACCTAGGCAAAACTCACTGATCATTCCAAAAAGGTATGACAAATTTGGTACTGTGAAAATTCTCACAGTCTCTAGAAAACAATGATACAAAAATTTTGAAAATCCGAGCAAGTTTATTTTTATCGTGCACCCCCTAATTCAGGGCCACCTAGAAGTAGAGAACGGGTTAAATAAAAAATTCACGCAACAGTCGAGACCGAGTATAGAGTGATTAATCATCATCCATTAATGCAGGACAATGGCCGAGCCAGAAACAGCGCCCCTCCCAAATACTACGAGATGGAGCAAAAAAGATTACAGGTTTCTTATACTAGCGATGCTGATCAAGTTTGGTGACGCAGTTGAACTTTACCTGCCCGGCGTAATCACACAAAAAGTTTCCTGTGAGCTTGGGGTCTCCTTTTTCCAGGAAGGGACTTTAGCTATTATCCTTTATGTATTTGAAGGTTTAGCTACACTAGCTGCTGTTCCAATGGCGAGGATATGTGGAGATAAGACCACTTTGCTCTGTTCACTGTATGGTTCCATCATCTCTACCATAATCTGCTCGGTGGTCCCCAACTTCTATACGTTTCTACTTTCTAGAGCTCTCATAGGATTTGGCTGTGGATTAAACATGACAATAATTGGAGTTTTTGGTGCGAAACAAATTTCTTCTAATGAGATTCTACCAACATTTTCTTTCATCCATGACTGCATTGCATTTACTTTTGGAAGTGCCTGGGCTTCGCTACTGGGTTGGCTTCTTCTTGAAACACTAGGCTGGCGGATGTTTGTCCTCTTAACATCCATTCCTTTGTTCATCCCACCAATAATCATGCTACATTGTTTCATTGAGGAAGAAGGCAGAAATACTGAATCAACGACCCGGAATGAAACTCAGTCCGTTAAACACTTTCCTGTGAGAGTTCTAAAGGCGAGCATTTTCGGGTGCTTCAGTAGCTTCATAGGGTATGGAAGTATCATGCTTCTTCCAACACTTATCAGGAATTACAATTTAACCGACGAATCTGTAGAGGTCGATAAATGTGAGCAAATCGTACATGGAGATCAATATATGATCCTTGCTGCGGTCAACGGCCTAGCCAACATCTTGGGAAGGCCGATAGGATTTTTTCTTAGGCCACACTTCAATTTCATGCCCCTCCAAACCACCTTTATGCTTGGATTTGCCATATCTTACGGGATCATTCTAGCAAGACCTGGCTTACTCATAGAATCGCTAATGATGGGAATAGGAAAATTATGTTATTCGATGCAGGGGGCAGAGAAGACCATCCTAAATTACGATGTGGAGTATTTTGGGCTGTCTGGCCTTTCTTTGGGTGGTGCCCTGATGGAGGTGGGCAGTCTTATAGGTGATGTGATAAGTACTACTCTCGTTGTTTTTCTTGATCCGTATCATTCTGTTATAGTCTGCTTGATAGTGAGTCTCGGAGAGGTCGCTGTGATTTGGTCATTCATTGAACGGAAGTGACAAAAGGACTTGACGAGAGTTATTTTAAAAACGTAGTAACTTTGGTTATTTAAGAATTTTTGAATCAGGAAAATCGAGTTTTGTGAAAGGAAGTAATCTTGACTTGATTTCTTCCTCAGAAAACAATAGATTTAATTTTGTTAAGACGTGTTTCTTTTAAATTTGAAAAAAAGAAAAAAAGATTAAAAAAGAAGAAAAAAACGGTGTTTCTGTCTTCATTAAAATGTGCATGTAGCTTTTACTGAAAAAATTTCTTTCGTATGACTCACATCCTTATTAATCAATTTACAAAGATTGGTTCATTTTTCATATTCTTTTT